TACAATGCCTGCCAATGCCAGAGGAACACCTCCAGCATTACTCATTCACATCCAGTCTTTGTCACAGACTCTTAAGAGGAGCCAGCTCAAATACACAGAGTAAATCCTGTGTATTCCTTAACGGTACTCCATCCCACAACAACTCCTGGCTACAGAGCAGATCCGAACTCTACTGCTGGAGGTTAAAAGTCTTTCTCATACTGACTCCTCGTGTCCAGAGATGAGGCATCCTGAAATGGTCTCCCAAGGGGAGCCTACAAACCCTTCAACCTGCCCAAACTCCTGTTGCTGTCACCTATCAGGTCAGAGGGAGAAGCAATCTGCAGCAGCAGCAGGAGCAGGACACAACAAAAAAGAGAGGCAAGGCAAGACAGGAGGCCATGCCCTGCCAGCACACCTAAGCACACAAACAACGCAGGGAGCAGAGCGCACTGTCACTGTCAAGGGAAGCACCAGTCTGCTGTGGCATGGCAGAGCCTACAGCCTAAGCTCATAATTACATGTCATCAGCTAGAGCAAGGAGACCCAGAGACTAAAACCATCAACATACAGAGAATTTTTTTCCTATTCCCACTCTGCCTCAAATTCCTCTGGGCAGGAAAGAGGAAAATATTAGTGTGGAGGAGCAGGGAGCAGGAAACACTACTTCTGAAACAAAGTGGCAGGAGGACAGGACACATCATCAGTCCCAGTCCCTTCTCCCCCCTCAATGACACCAGTACTTTTGGAAAACTAAGGCCTGACTCTGGTTCCTACGATAAAGCATTGTGTGCTGTGTGGTACATTCCCACAGCAGATACACAGCCCTAAGCATCTCACACAAATCCCAGGTGAATTTGGTGGGCTGGATACGTTCATGCGTTCTTTTCCTGCAGCACTTGAATTTTTTTGGACATAGGACTGCTGGGGTAACTACAGCATGTGTCAACCTGTGACCCTTCAAAAGATTCTGCTCCAGAATGGGAATGGGTGATTGCTTCCTCTTTTTAAAACTGACACAGCAAAGGAAAGGATATTAATTTCCAATATGAAAGTCATGGAAACAGAAGAGAGGCAGAAATTCCTTCATGCACCTGATTGTGGCCCAGCAGAGAACCAAACAGGGCTCTATGTTTTGGTTTTGTTTCTGAGCCCTGACAGCAGCAAATAAGCTGCTCCCAAGCAAGGGATGCAAACAGATGTGCCCTCTGCAGAGATCTTGCCTGCTGGGCTCAGCAGCCTGAATAGCTGCTTTATTTACTTTATCTGCTCTAGCACAGCTTGATTCAAGACTGTCCCCTGGCTTTCCTGCTCTAGCACAGCTTGATTCAAGACTGTCCCCTGGCTTTCCTGGAGACAGCCCTGTTCCTAGAAATGCTGAGCTCACCTGAAAGGTAACAAAGTGGAAGGACTCCCCACCGAAAGCCCTGGGGGATGCTGCCTGTGCAGGCAAGTACTCACATGCTGGTGTACATCCGCTGGCCATTCTGCTGGTTCTGCAGGCGAGTTTTTGCTAGGTCAATGGGAAATACACAGGTGACCCCAATCAGCCCAGCTATGCCTCCATTGATCAGCTTGGCAGGTAAACTGTAAGGGGATGAGATGCAGAGAAACAAATGTCTTAGCACCAGCATAAAATCAGTTTTTTTTTGAAAGAGTGGAGCTCTTTTGCATGACCAGAGTTAACACATCACTATGCGACGAGGCTGTCCGCCCTCTCCAGCACAAAGGGAGCTCTGCCTCAAGGCAAAGCTTGGCCCTTGCTGTACATACAGGGGAGGAGGGGAAAGCAAGCACATAGCATCAGAAAAAATCACTAATGAGTGGAGTGGAGCCAAACAGCTAAGCCACACATTGCTAAGAGCAAGGAAAATCCCTGTTTCCCAGGACCCAAGGGCTTCTGTTGTCCCTAGAGGAGAAAAGACAGAGTGCTGCACCATCTACCACATGGGCAGACTTCAGTTAGGGCATGATGGCATCCAAGCCAGCAGGTTTACTGGCAAATGGTTTTCAGCACTGCAGTCAGATACACATCTAATGAGAGGTTCGTGACACATCAGCTGCTACCATCATGTGGGAACGAGCCCAGCAGAAGCACCCAGCTGGCAGCCAAGGAGCAGACAGCTACAGCTCCAGGAAACTGCTTCCAGACCCACTGCCTGGGGCAAGGGGAACACACACAAACCAATAGCCCAGCAAAACCACCGGACTGGCAGCCCTGCACAGCCACAGATGCAGAGACGTGAGCTCATACCTCTCGGGGAAATCAAAACCTGGCTGGCTGCATGTGCTTCCAAAACACGAGGCTCTTGCCTTTGTGCTTGCCTTTGTGTTCCCACAGGGAATTCTTGCAAGTGGCACTGAGTGAAAGCCAGATCAGCTAAACATGGGTTCCCAGCAAATTCAATTATGAAAAATGTCCAGCACTTATATGCTCAATAAACCACTACAGACAGAGACAAAGGAAGCCTGTTTGAGTCAGCTCCCTCCAACAAAGCACAGGATATGGCTCCCTGAACACAGGATGTGTCGAATATTAAACTGACAGCAGTCCTAGATTGCAGCTGGGAGAGCCAGCGAGGCCAAGTCCTCACACCGGGGCAATGGGCACCCTGTCTTTCACGATGGTGACATGATGCTCTGGATGGGATCACAGACTGCATTACCCACTGGAAGCAGCAGCAGTGAGGCTGGCCATGGCATGGTGAATGCTCTGCAAACATGTGCCACCCCAGCAGCATTGCAGAGAGGATCAATAAGCAGCCATGCTGAAAGAGCTGCCTCTCAGCTCCAGGCTCAAGGGAAAGGCTGGATATGGAGACTCAGGGTTTCAACCTGAGGTCTCCCTGGGGGAAGCAGCAAAAAGAGGGGGGGGGG